CTGTCTTCATGCTCATGATGCAAAACAAAATCCAGACTCTATTGCAAGGCGTGCGATTGTAACACCTGAGGAAGCCATATCCGCGACCCCGAACACGTTGCAGAAATCGCGAAGGCCGTTTACGGTCCAACGGTTCTGGAGCCGAAGGGCCGCAACAAGAAAGCGGCACACATACTCTGCCAACCCGCTGACATAGAAGCTTGGGTACTATTATCTAAGAGAGTGTCTAGCAGCTTTCTTGACGTTTTCGTTAAAGAATGTTGCAATGATTTTTTGGGCGGAAGATGGTGGCTAGTGCAAGGCTGAGCCTTTGTCGTAGATGAACTCGTACTAGTACAGGAGCAGCAGCGGCCAACAAGCAGCTGTACTGATAGTTTCTTTGTGTGTGAAGTTCTCATCACGGTGCACGTTGGAATGAAGTGCCTACTCGGCGAGCATTTTCTCTTTCGTCAGACATACAGATAAATTTAACTGCTAGGTTGGGTGCGAGTTCGGAAACAATGGCGATATGGTGGCACCGGTGCGTGCGTGGAACTTGATCGAAAAGCAGAATGAGGACCTGTTGCTATCGGCTGCAAGCACGTCTGGATCTGGATGGAAGCACGCAACTTGCGTCGCAGATTTTGACATGGCAGTAGAATGTTCTGCTGTTGTTGTACAGCAATAGGTCATGACAAGGCTCTCCAGCTTTACTGCAGATTTCTTCGTAAATCGCATGTGCATCCGGATCCGCATGACGAAGTGCCCTCCGCCACGATAAAAAAACTCGCCTTTCATGTTCTTTCACCATAGGGCTCCTGATTGACTTTTAAAGTTTGAATCACAAATCCAGATCCAGCCATATTCGCAATGCATAGCTTGCGCAGTTCGACGATTCGAAGGACGGCTTAAACAGGGCACTGCGGCAGTTGCGGCCGCTTCGGCAGCGGCCAAAGGACAGTAGTCTCGACGAGGTCGAGCGCAAGCGATTGGAGACCGAGGACGCTGGCGAGGCACGGACCTCAGCGTCCTCCACACAGGACAGGCGTCGTGAGAAAGAGGAGGCGGCAATGCAGTATCAGGAAGACCTACAGCCCGAACCCGCCTACCGAAACTATTGGCAGGTAGATGGCGGCTTAGCTTTATCTTCAAGGAGACGTCGTGTTGCGATTCTAGACCCAGACCCTGTAGTCCCTGAGTGGACCGGAGGGAGGGTGCCACCGTTGGGGTGCGCGGCGTCAGAATCTATCATGCGTCGAAATGTGTAAATGTAATATGGATAAATATTCTTTGTGACGTACTTCTGTTCTGCATCAGCGAGTTGGAGGATAAGAATGCATGACAAAAATTAGGCCCGGTTTGTGATGGAGCTGATTGCGGATGGATTGGAAAAAATGGAGAATGGTGCGAGCGGCAAGTTACGTTCGTACAAAGCGTTCAAGCGACTGGACCACGACAACGACAATTACATCACGCTGAACGACTTAGAAAGATCTTTCCAGCAGTTCAAAATTTCGTACACGCCCGAGGACGTGCACGCCGTCTTCTCGGAGCTCGACACTGCGGATCGCGGATCTGTCGGTATCGGGCAATTTAGCCGGAGGTAATGCCACAGAGATATTCGGTCATGGACCTGGTGTAATCCTAGAGTAGGTATATGAAAAGAGCAGTTTTTGATTGTGAATCTGTAGACGAACAACTCCACTTTGTCCACAGCAAAAAGAAAATGAACTACGCGCACTTGTTGGACCTGTGGCGCAATGTCGTTCAAACAACCTTGATGCCCGCTGGATGCATTTGTATCAGCTGCAGATTGAATTTGAATTTCGTCGATAGAAAAACTTCAGTTACTTTTGAAACATGAATATTACAATCAGGTTTCTTACTTTCCAAGGGAGTCTGCTTGATAACATGCAAAAACCAATCGCGATGGCGGCGTTTGATGGGACTTACCAAGAGAAAAAAATCCGCCCCGAAATACTCAAAAGAAGACTTTGTATCATGCTGGATCTGTTGCAACAGGTCAGGATTACTGCAACAAGTTCTCACTGCAAAGAGGCAACACCGCAGGGCTTCTGTAGCACCACTCTATGTAGAAGTAGGTAATTCCTGAGCCTGACTTATAATTATTCGCGGCTGTCCGTCGCTGTTTGCTCGGCAAAAAATAACAATAAGCCATGCCCTACTGCTAGACCGCGTCATTCTCTCGCAGGCTAAGAATGGGTCTGCGTTGCCTTTTCAATCGTCAGAGCGGTGCAGTGTATGTATACAAAAAGAAAATACAACCAGGCTAACCGGGGGCATTCATAATTCTTGCGAGTGTGCAGGGGTGGGCCATGGATTTTTTCCCACGATAGACCAGCGCCCTACCGCGTAGGTCCGGTGGTGGAGCGGGAACGGGCCGAGGCAGCAAAGCGCGGCGACGGGCTCCAGGTGGTCGACCAGCCGATGGATGCGATGGGATCTGACCCAGGGGAAGTAGGGACGACACCCGTTGCTGCGGCAGATCCGGGACAAACCGAAGCCGGGCCGGACCAGCGAGAAGAACCGGTATCACAGCAGCACGAAGTAGAACAAGCCGCTGCGCCGTCTTCCCAGCGTTCTGCCGCGAATGCGGACAACAGTCCCGTTTCCGTGACGGAGTCTGCGCCCGCACCGGCGCCGTACGAGCAGGGAGCCTTACCGGAAGACGACGCCGCGATCTATCCAGGCGAGCCACCCTTCACGGGGCGTTCCTCGCGAGCGGGCGACTATCGGATGAAACCCCCGCGGTACAGCATGCTGGGGCGGCGTTACGGCAGCATCACGCAGGTGATCAAGGCGCGTACGGATCGGTGGAAGGCCAAGAAGCACGAACTGTACACCACGCTGCCCCCGTAGCCCTGGGAAAAACAGTTTCACTGTGAAGCTATAATGTAAACGACGAGTGTAGCACTCAAAAGGTTTTATTTGTTTTGCCAGACAGTATCTCGCCCACCTAGAGGCGAGCGCACATGTTGTTTTGCCAGGACTGCAAGAAAGGGCATTAATTTTATTGCACGCGTCTCCTCCTAGGGAGCGCGCGCGGCAGATTTTTGTTGTGATGCGTGACGATAAACTTCTCCTGCTGCAAACTGTGCTAAATCATCACAGTGAAACACAGCTTTTCTGTACGATACCCAGGGGCGATACGAGCGCACGCAGTACCCGGAAACCACGCACGTGACGCAACCCATCCCGCACGAGAGCATCGCGAGTTACCTGCCCGAAGAGCGCCGCTTCAAGACCATGTCTTTGGCGCACAATGTGTACGCAGCCCCGGACCCAGAGGTGCCAGCCCGCATGGACCGACTGAAGTCGATGGCGATCCGCGATTTTAACGTCCGCCGCATCCAGCACCGGCAGGCCGAAATTTCGCATCGCCAAGCGCTGGCCGAGGAGGCGGCGCGCGAGTTCGAGGAGAAGCGCATCGCCCGAAAAGCGCTCAATCAGCTCAACTACGAGCGGAAAATCCGGGCGACCTACTAGCGCACAGGGAGGACGACAACCATCCACGGTGCCAGTGTTTGCTGCGGTCGCGTGGAGCAGACGTAATTTCTTAGGTTTGTTTAGTGAAATAAGTATGATCTATAGATGACTTACTAGCGCGCTGCAACCTGCTGTGATGCTGATGACAACAGATACCTGCAGCTGCACATGCAAAAATCCTCTTCTTCTAATTCCATCGAAAACAAAGCGAAACCGCTCTGCGGAGCCAATCCAAAATTTATCAGACAGTAGTACGAGCAGATAGAGATTATGAAGTTAAGTAGACTAGCACAGACAGTTGTCGGGAGACTTAGACAACATTAGACGATATTTATTAGACACCCAGAAGCAATTTCTTCAGTGAATAGGAATACGATACCGTTACAGAGGCGAGCAGAGCTTTGATGACACATCGCGGACGAGTCAAAATATAGAATCAATCTAGATATACTTACTAGCTTACTTTGTAGTTATCGAGCGCAGACGGAGACGCATGATATTATCATCTAGCAAATGTTGAGGCAGCATGTCGGGTGGCAGCAGACCCACAGCATCTTTGGGCACGTATAATTATGAATGTTTCCAGACACATCGCATTAGCAGCCACTGAAAATGAGCCCGCGTAGCGTTATGCTTGGCGTCAGCAACACTACAAAGAAACGGCTGTGGTGTCATTCATCTGACGTAACGCGACCGTTTTGTCGTCGAGTTTACACAACTCCGATCTGACGATCTGAGATGCAGCTGCGTCAGGAATGAGCTTAGGAATAGTGATGATCTTGGAGACTATTCTATGTTGTGCCAAAAGAACTCCACCGACGATTTGCGACACAGTCAACGCAGTTGTATAAAGATGTTTCCAGACTATACTACAGGATCTTCGAACTTGATGGCTGACAATGTTTCCTGTTTCTGTGAATGCCTATGGTTGCCGTGTATCATGCTGCAAAAATCTGCCTTGAAATTATGCATGTGAATGTTTTTCGATACCCTGTACCATTTAGTTCTGGAAAGAAAGAATCTTCAAAATCAATTGCATTAACTCGATTGATTCATTGCTAATATGCAACTGAAGAATCAATGCCGTGAGCGCATCAGAGATCACAGTCTGGTGGTCATTTGTTGTTCAAAGCTGGGCTTCCGTGGTAAGTAGGTCTCGAGGGAGTGTGGGGACGGAATTCGTTGCCTGGACGCGCGATGAGGGTGTGTGCTCATATCAATACGAATCTGTACGAGCACTTGTTTCATGGGTGAAAGGGGGTCGGACCTGGGAGTCTGATCTTTCATTGTTGTAAACTTACTGACGCACCATATGCTTTCATTGTTGTAACTCTCTTAAATGTCCCGCTTCCACGGTGGAGGGAGAGGACAGCGAAGAAGGCTGCGAGAAGCAGGAGACTTTTCGTTATCCGCACGGGGGCAATAGAAGGTGACTATAGGTCATAAGAGAAGAGGACAGTATACTAGACCCCCCAGTTGGGTACATCATCATCACAACATTGAAACTGCACAGAAAATAATGGAAAAACAGCTTCAAATTGGCGCCGCGCGGGGATGATCACATACTGATACACAAAAGTAGAAGATGAAGAGAGTTGTGTGGGGTGAACCGAAGGGGAGAGAGGATCACTATAAATTTTGGAATCTGCAGCTTCATCGGGTCCTACTGTGATTGAAATGAGAGCACGTTGCACAAACTGACTGTGACGAAAAACGCGACCCTGCATCCGAGCCTGAAGTTGGAGAATATCTTGTGCATGTTTTTACGATGTATCATATTTGAATTTATCTGGCTGCACTGGCTGCGAATAGTAGTCGGGTAGCTATAATAGATAGAAGCTCACTAGGACTAGACCACAAGCTCACTACAGAGGTACTGTTCTCCCGTTGAAAAGAGTTAACAGGGTCTTCGAGGAGAAGTCGTGTCGCTCGTACAAGAAGAGGCAAGTTTCACAACATGAACATGTCCGTCGGCGAGGAAGTAATGGTTGGATCGGGATCTGGAGATGCACTGGCCATCTCCGCCATTCCGTCGGAGACGTACAAAACGCACCCTGCCGGTGAGGGCGACAGTAAGGAGTGCGACTGGGCTTTGAACGGGTTTCTCATCCCGCACTCCGTCGCAATATCTTGTGTAAAAACTTACCGCCCACCCCAGACTTGTCATGCGTTTTTGCATGATGCCGGTAGTGCCCAGAACACTTCTCATGCGGCTTCGCATGGGAGGGGGAGGCGTTGTCTATTCACCTTCTGGAATTCCTCACACGCTAATGTTATTGTTGATTTGTCGTGTAGCATCATGTCTCTCGTCTTGACTATGGGGTTATGTTACGTTTTTCAACAGGATACGTAAGGATGGCTACCTACGACCTGCTTGCCGCTGTCAAGGCCCTTGAGGCAAAGGGCGTTTCTGGCGAGAGTGCGACCCTGCTGAAGGACTGGTACAAGAACTATTACCTGTACGGAGAAGAAATAAAGCCAGCACAAACACTATCACTACATTAGATTTTGCATGATGATGCATGGATGTACCATTGAGTTCATCGAGGATTCTGCCCGGATTCCGGACAGATCGAAGCTAAGATCACGCATAATTTTTTACGCCTGTGAGTCACACACTTTCGTGCTCCAGAAGAAACAGTAGTGGACTTCCTTGAGTTGTCATGTTCGTATGGACTCATACAGACATACTTTCGTCTACAGACAAGCAAAGTGACGACGTGATGGTGGTGGATTTTTCTCGTCTGGATAGCTGCTGCTTCGTGCACCACCACCACCGCAACGAAGAGACGATCTACTTTCCCTGGCTTTCCGGCGTTTTGAAGGAGAAGGGGATTACCTCTCTGCCACCGCTATTCCGTGTAAAAACGCTAACGCGGTTTATGACCGCTCTGTAGTGAAGATGTTGGTCGCGCCCGTGCAAAAGAGAGTGCGTCAGTCTCTGACGCGTTCGCTTACGAAAGACAGTTTTTTATTATATGTTTTTGTTTTGAGTTCTTCGTCTTTTTGAAAATAAAAGATGAAGAACTCAAAAAGAATTTTTCTACTTCGTCATCTTCTGCTTTTTGCTGTGCCCGAAGGAACCACGATGGATAGGAATACCTAAGTAATCTTGAAAGATTCTGGGTCCGAACCTTCTGTCGCGGGAAATTTGCAGTACTGCAAAAGCTGCAGCTGCTTCTGGATTTCTATAGCAGAGCTGACATCTTGACTACAGGGCGAGTCACTGTGTGCCATGGGGATACTTGCGCATCTCCGAGCAGCATGATGATCTGATGAAACGCATGGACACTATCGAGGCGCAGACCCAATCCCTGGAAGAATTTGCGCTGAAGGAGCCAGAGAAAGTTCCTGCACTGGTAAGACTAAGTCTAGCTCCGGAAGAACACAGTAGACAGACTGTAACATGGAGCAGCTGCGTCTCGTTAAGAATGAATACTGATAAATTATTTGCGCATAAACTACTTCTACTCATTAATTTCCTCGGAGCCACATGACTGCCAGAATAAGGGTTTTCTTCTTGAGTGATTGTTTGCCGTGTTTTATTCCGTGTGTTGAGGAGTGATGGCTGCATTCCTTCGCTCTGTTTGCGAAGAAGAGTGTACTGCTGAAAATTGGAAAGCTATTAGATGACGGGTTAGATGAATAGGGGTCGTTTGGATTCCGGGCGCGGTTTAAAAGGGTCCGGTGGGGGGTTTCGGGATGCGAACTAGAGGACAAACTAGATGGCCTCCTCCCCCATTGGACCTGGAGCAAGCATCTGCAACCGGGGCCCATCGTTCTGGCTTTTGGGGTGTCCGCTTTTGGTTTGAAATGTCAGGGCGTGGGATAGTTTTCCGTTTCTCCAGGTCCTCACCCCGCCAAGTCGCCAGGTTTTGGCAACCGTCTTCCTTGCCGCGTCTGTTTTCATCTTTTCCCTTGGCTGTGGTCCTGGGTTTGGGTAATTTGTAAATTAGCCACCTTCTATTCTCCAGTCAGAGTCTTTAGGTCGCCCGGGCCTGTCTCCCTGGTCTCGTGGCCCTGGCGCGGGCGGCGGGGGGCCTCTTCATTTTGGGCCCCCCGCGGAGCTTGCTGGTTAGCTGCTGTGCCACCCACGCCCCTGCCGATTGGTCGTTTCGCTGCTGTAATCGCGCGCGGCGCACGACTCGCCCGCGACGGCGCACACCCGCCCCCCCCGCGGCCGGATTTTCATCACAAAGGAAGCGCGCGGCCGCCCAGAGGGGCGCCGGCCCACCCGGCCCCCTGTGCGGGCGGGGGGGCGGGCCAACAGTGCGGGACGTTTGTTTTTTTCTGCCTGGTCGTCCTGGAGGTGGGGGGGCGCGCCACAGTTCTGGCGCTCTGTTGCGTGTTCGGCGATCAAACCTTTTTCGCCCGGCCCCGCTTCTTCGGTTGCCTCCGGGGATTTCTTGTTCCCGAATTTTGGCTTTTCTCCGCTCCAGGGGAGGGAACATAACGAGGAGGCGCAGGGAGGCGAGGCCGCCGGCCGCTCCATTGGGGCGAGGCCGGGAACATGGCGCGGGCGTCGCCGTTCGCGAAAGTAATGGCACCTAGCCAAAGGCGCAGCGGCCGCCCTCGCATGATATTGGGGCGCGCGACGGCAGGCCAAGGAAGCATACACGCACACGAGCCGACTTTCAGGCGACCTGCCCGGCGCCCTCTGGCTGGGCGAGCGCTCCGGGCGCATTGACTGGGAAGCGTGCGGCCACGCGGTTGCGCCAAGATTGCGCCACCCTGCCTGGGAAAGGCGCGCACGAGGGTCACTTGCGTGCATTCCAGGCTTTTTTTTGCCGGTGCCAAAGGCCCGCGTCGACCTTTACTTCGCCGCGGCCAGGTGTGTCGTATCCCGTTTTCTCAAACACCCGCTTTCCGGCCACTGCGGGGCCGCCCCCTGGCGGTCGTTCCCGCGAGTGGTCGCGGCACCGTGGCGAAGCTTTTCTGGGCTCCGTAAAGAAGTATCGGCCCGGGCGTATTGCCTTATTTTCCCAATGGCGCCGCCTGTGGATCCTAGTCGAGCTCGTCAATTTTTGTTCGCCATCGGTCAATTTCGTCATCGCCAGGAGCTCGTTCTCGTGAAATGAATCCGGCGTTTTTGAAAATGAATCACCCGAAGTTAGTACTTCAATACCTTATCTTAACCTTTCCCTCATCTAATACCGTACCCCCCAACTGCATTCCTTCGCTTTGTTTGCGAAGAAGAGTCTACTGCTGAGCCCTGAAGATCGTCTACCCATCTACTTGCTTCTCTTCAGGCCAAGGACCTCGCCATCGCCGTGGAGGAGTTTGCAAAGGAAATGATTCAGCACCTGAACGAGGAGGAAATGGCGATCGTGCCGTTGCTAAGCATTGCAAAAACGTCTGGCTCCGCCGGGTCACGGCTTGTTACGAGATTCGAACCACCCGACACAGATCTGCAATCCACGAAACGGAAAGAACGAAGATGTGCCTTGTTTTGTCAAATGGCAAGCCTGTCTGCCACACGACTTACGTGTCATTTCGCAAAAAGTGTTCATTTGTCATGCTGCCCTGCCGTGCAGGGGACCGGTCGGAAGTGCAAGTGTCAGCACGACCTATTGCCTAAAGGTTTATTCCGGACCCAGACTGCTCAGACCTACTCGCAGTCGATAGTTGCTCCGCGCTCACACCACGCAAAAGGAGGAGGCCAAGACCGTGGACAAGATCGTGAAGGGCTTGGGACTGGGTGGCGCGAAGATGGCGCTTCTATCAAAATTGAAAATTATGCGATGCCCCCTCCGCATACACAGGGTGAGATTTGCATTTGTGTGGAATTATTTGCTTACACAAATCACTCTGGACGGTAAGAAGCCATGGTTGGTGGATGCTAAGCCTGTGCAGCAGGTAGACTCCTAGCTGTTCCGTACGATAAATCCTTCACTTCCACTGTACTCTCCCGAGGAGTTCAATAGCAATAGAAATTGCTTGCAAAATACGACAGAAATCCGTCGGGCCTCCTGTATGCAGTGCGAATTTATTGCATACACACATGGCGCATCACAAGTGGCTTCTTCAGTGCTAGGAGGGGGTAATGTTCTCCACAATAGCTTCCGTGGATTATCGACGCAATGGACCAATACGATCCGATATCCCCAAAAAAAGTGTGTATTCGCTGCAGGAGCCTCGATCTCGATTTCTTCTGGTTGATGCAGCTTCAGCCGTAGGCTCTACTGCGAGAGTCAGCCATCTTCATGCGCAAGAACTGGAAAATTCCACTTGATTTGCTTGCAAAAATAAATAGCTGTGATGCTGCTCGTCCAGCGCGACAGGTGATTTTTGCTGTTTCGATGTATGGCATCTGTGCAACCCAACACATTTACACGCCCGTTTGTCACACGTATAATCGACGCCGGAAAAGAAGTTCAAGAAGGAGTTCCACGCTTCCCTGCCTCCGCCGTACGAAGACGGAAGATAAAGTCCCCTCCGTCCTGTGTAGGTTGTTTGTTTGGTCATACGCTTAGCCTCTGCGATTCCAAACCCGTACGCAAATCAACGTTTTTTCATCAAGTACTAAAGCGCACGCAGAACTCGTAGTCGTACTGCCACTCTGGCTGGTTTTGCGCCAGGTGTTCTAGGTGGTCGGCAAGGCGGACGTTTCTGCTGTAGGGGTGTTGCAGGTGTGTCTCGGGGCGTCCCACGCAAGGCACACGTTGCATAGTTTGCAAGAATGAAGAGCTACTTGAGATTACAAATGATCCTTCCAAAAACAATTGCAATTTTTGTCTCTTCCGGAGTGTGTGGGGCTTTTGAATTTCCATACACGGCTCAGAATGTTCATGAGCTGTTGCTGGAACGGTATAAAGTACTATTTTGCCGGTTTTCGATATTGGTTTTTCAAGCACCAGGTGCAGGTAGAGGTATCAGGCAGGATTCTCAACATGATTTACCTATTTCCAGTGCGGCTTCTGCCGGCATGTGCATGAGCATGCACGAAGTGATGGCAACTTACTTAGTCATGAAAGAACGAGGAGACACAGGGAATATCCTAGTGGACGACATAGGAAAATAAATCGGTACTTACCAATAACAGGTGCGTACAACAAACGCAATAAGGCTGTCATCACGGCGCTGAAAGCGGGCAACTCGATCCGGGTTTCCAAGGGATGCTGTTGCTGCTGAAGCGGTATAGAAGGAGGTTTACGGATTCGATTTTTTGTAATATGGAGTACGATTGGGATTGAGGATGACGGTATATTACAGTTGCCCGTGAAACGGATATTTTATCTTGCGACTCGCTTCTTTTGCAATGTCATACTCTTCTTGTAACGAAAAAACGAAAGAAGTACGTAAATAATTTTTAAACGGCACAGGAAACAACAACTGCACGAGCGGGACGGCTGTGCAGCTGGAATTATTCCAGAGGTAATCTATGCAGATTGCTGGATGCAGAAAGAGGAACAGCGCAAAGGACACGGGAGCAACCTGCTGGCATTTGTGACTGGAAATTGGTTCTCAAGCTCATTCATATCTATTTAACGCTCTTCCTAAGCCTGAATTGTTTGTGTTTCCGCCACATTTTACTGATTGTGATTCAAATCATGAGGTATCTTCGAACTGCCTGTAAGATTCAACCGTCTCTAGAAAGAAAATTGATTGCGCGACCAAATGTATCTGTATTCACGGTTTGTGTTTGTCGTCCCAGCAGGATTGTCAAGAAGATTCCAACGAAGTTTCGATGCATTTCATGCGTGCGCAGCGTGCACAGTCTCATATTTATTTCGGAGGTAGTCACCAATGAATTATTTCTTGTTTTGTACTAATGCTGTCCGTTGGCCATGTTGGTTTTCGTGTTGTAATGCGCCTGTTTGTTGTCATGGCGATGGAGCAGACGAAGACATGAATGAACTCCTGGCATTTCACGACCACGTGGATCGTGATGCTATTTCCCCTTTACACGAGGACTACAGTAGAAGTTACTGCACAGAACTAGCAAGTAACAGCATCGCCGTATCACCGTCGATAGCTCTTTTGGCAGCTTCGGAGCAGATGTTTGCAGAATGTACGTCCCAGGAAAGTGGGCGGCAAAACGAAAAAAGACTTGCTGTATGTAGCAAAGCAGCACTCGGCCCGGGCCCTGCTCACAGCAGGGAAGAGGCAGGCGAAGGCAGAGCTTGTTCAGCACAACACGGCGCGGGGTTTGTGTTTCCCACAGGAGAGGTGGGTTTGTGTTGCTTGTACTTATCAGCGGGACTTCTTCTGGTTCTGGTTCATCCGTTCTTGGCTAGTCTATGGGGTTCAGAGTTTCACTTCAGTTGCTTGGAGTAGCTCTACAATTTATTTCATCGGTTTAATACGAAAAACGTAAGCGACCCAAGCGAAAGTGTACAAACAGGAGCGAATTCCTTCTCGTGAAAAGGAATCGAAAAGGATGTTGGCAACGAGGCTGTTGGCTTTTCTGATGACCCTAAAGAGGGTTCGCGGCGAATCTGCGGTCGTGAATATTGAGAGGAAAAAATCCCCCTCCCCATATCGAAAAGGTATGCTTCTGAAAATTTGTGTTGCTGATTTGAGGTCACAAATCACATTTGTCTTGCAAGAAGACAAGGGCAGAAGCTTCCGCCCCATTATGGAAGTTATTTGTCATGCTGGTGGGCCTCAAGGGGAGCCGTTTGCAATGCTGAGCACCTAGACCCATACGCCCCTACCTAGCCTGGGGATCTGGCCGCAATGCCCTCCTGCAATACAGAGCTGATTTGTGTACGCAAATCCAGCATCAGAAATTCCGCTTTGATATGGGGCGGGGGGATTTTTCCTTTCGATAGTGAACAAAGGAAGGGCACCTGGAACAACCGTGATTGTAGCGGGTGCGACAGGCCGCACCGGTCAGCTGATTTATGAGAAGTTGCGGACGACCTCTGAGCCGCATCTGCAAGTGCGCGCGTTGGTGCGAAGTCGCACAAAAGCACGAGAAGTGCTGCATTGTGACAAGTGCGATGCCTCCGAAAACATTTTTGTGGCAGACATCACCGACGCCGACGGTTTGGAGGCATGCGGAGTTTTTGATTCCGCATCTGTTTCGGGATCAATGATGCTGGTGATCGCGACAAGCGCTGTATCCTGTGTAAAACCGTCCTAGCTACCTACCTACCTACCTACCTACCTACCTACCTACCTACCTACCTACCTACCTGCAGAAAGTCCTCGCGTTTCTCTTAAACTTGGACACTAAAACTGCTCTGTGTTCAAGGATCGCTCTGCATGAGAACTGCGTTGCGCTTCATCGGGTTATAGAGCGCGTCTTGCCTCGACATGCAAGTTTCGTATGTATTCAATAGAAGCTAGTGCTAGGCCATTATTATTTTTCTGCAATTGGGACGCTTCTGCACAGCATGATTCATCCCGAAGTGCAAGGAACCGTTTACCGGGAACCCCTCGGATTGCGTGTATCCGCCCGGCGGCAGCCCGCGGGAAGTGGATTGGAATGGCGGACGCAACCTTATCAAGGCTTTTGCGCGCAGGTCAAGCGAGAGTAGCATCAAACAGAGAAGCGCAGCGAACGAAGACCGAGCAGTTGCTGTTTCTGGGGTTGCGGCAGAATCCGCAGCTGCAACCGAGTATCCCAGAAAATAAACGAGAAAAGAGCTTTGACAGCAGGCGATGCAAAAATAAAAAAATGATCTCCGTTACATATTCAAAAAGTAAATCAGAAGCGGATGTCTTTATCCTATTTCTTTTTGCATAGAATAAACTACAAATAGAAGTTCTTTTCTCTGTTCGGATAACGAGCGATCTGTCGTCTTGATTTCTGCGATGGGGACCACCGAGCCGGCGTCGTTTCTAGACAAGCTTGGCGAGGGATGGATTTCGTTTTACAAGCTCAATCTGGAAGCTTTCTTGAGTTCCGCGGGCGTACGCAATGTGATCGTGAAGCCGTGTGGACTAAAGGACGACATCGCGGACAACAAGTATGCCAGGAAAAAACTGATTTCGTCTCCTAAACTGCTAGAGACTCTGGTCACGAGTCAGCAATACTCATCAACGATAGCCACGCACGACATCTGTAGCGCGTCATGAGTAAGAAGACGCACGCAGATCTTTGATGCAATTTGTTGCCGTCCTCGACATGCAGGAGTAGCAGCAAGAACAATGGCCCATTGTTCTTGCTGCTACTCCTGCATGTCGAGGACGGCAACAAATTGCATCAAAGATCTGCCCTAGTTTTACAAATGGAGATAGTGTAGTCGTGTCAGTTTTCTTGCGATAACAGAAACCTCAAATTTATTACCGGCCACGACGACGAGCATCCGGTTTCCGTTTCTCCAATCGCTGCCACGAAGAAAACGGGCGTACCTACCAGTAAAGAGACTCGCGTGAATATCAGAGAAATACGTGTGTAAAGTGTATAACGTATTGTGTCAGATTCCGTGCTGCAGAGGCTGCAGCATGCAAGGAACAGTACGCCGCGTGGCAATCACACGTACCTCGTACCTTGCCGCTGGAAATGACTTTTTTATAATCAACGCATTTTGGATCGCCTTGCAGAGTACATATCAACACGGGAACCGGCCTGCCGGTGTTCTCTCAGTCTGAGAGTGGTGCTGTGGTTCTTGTTCTTTCTCTTTGAAGTATTACTCCCAGATTGCTTGTTGGTAATTCCATGCTGGGCAGCCATTTTGACTGCATACGGATGACGAGGAACCAACTAGCAGACTTGAGCATTGCAGCTGTGCAGTGGCTGAAACAGCACGACGACCCGGCGGGGTACGGCACCAGTCGGCGATTTGACGTCTGCACACAGGATGGAGCGCAGCAGGCGAGCCTCGTCGATGTTGTGAATGCCGCTGGCTGGCCCTGGCAAAATGACACTCCGGAAGACCGGTTGCGCACCAGCTCGCAGCGCAATGCTGAACTATTCAACTGATACCGACGTGGGTCGCTTTATTTCACAGCGTGAAAACAAGAATCGACTCGAGCTGAAAAGGACTTCGAGTCTTTAGGCAAGAAGTAGTGCGAATCAGTTTTGAAAGTAGTCATCGAGCTGTCAGTTCATAAATTGTATAAATTACGCATGTACAACAGCGCAAGTAGAAAGGCAAAGGAGCAAAAAAAACAAAAAAGCATTATGGGACGAGATGACAGTTCGATCAGAATTGATGTCATTTTAGCAAGACGATGAAGATGTAGACTCGCTTTATGTGTCTTCGACTTTTTTTTTCTGCGCGGTTCTTACTTCCCGCAGATCTCAGCAGGTGAAAGCGCTCTATTTTGTCGATCTCTTTACTCACTTCTTCGCGACAACGCGTAGTTCAACTTCCTGATGGTGACATTCCCCACGCGCGCGTTTTATTTTCAGTATGGCAAACGGACGAGATCTGTGCTTTGCAGAAGGCGAGAGTGTTGATTATTTGTCGTCTCTTCTGCTAGCCTTGCCTGCCATATCTACTACTAAGCGCAAGGCGGATCCAGTAGTTTAGTCTACTGAGCGAAAGGCGAGTATAGTTTAGTATAGGACTGAAAGGCGGGCTTGTAGTTTTTTTTTTTCGTGCTGGAACTGTCTGGTCCCTGCCCAGCGGTCAGTAGAGATCAAATGGCAGATTATATATAATCCCTCTCGCAGGTCTTGCTCTTGGCCTATTTTGATTCCAGTTTCGTGTACTTTGTGTTGCTGTAATTCTGTTGTTTCATCGCAATACAAATCGCCATGCAATTATTAAGTGACCTTTTTTTGATTTTTTTCTAGCTGCGTATTAGCACCTGCGCGTGTTGACCGCCGAACAACACTGGAAGGCTCGCAGTCCGTCTAGTCGAGCACCTAGTGCAGAAATCTCATCTATAGATATTTTTTTATACGAGTATTTCACGGTAGCTACAGCCCGACGCGCGTGCGGAACCGCAACAGGGTGGGAGACACAAAGTCATGGCGCTGTGTAGCAGAGGCCGGTCGTTGGCCATGGTGTCCATGATCATAGTTGGATTCTTAGGATGGCCTCTGATCGCGCATGGACGGATGTTTGCCCGGGTACCGGCCGGTTGTATGGGAGTGAATCGAAATCGAACCACCGCGTTCGCACTGCCCTTGGGATGCTAACCCGTTGTGTCCTTGCATTTTGCATTTATTTTCGTGTGTCGCAGTAAAAGAATGGAGCAAAGGTGACAAGCAAGCAAGAAGTTTAAGAAAAATCATGTCCCGAAGGAGTTTCACTGAATGTTGAACGTCTGACCTCGCAAACGCATCATGGAAAGCACGAATGAAAAACATTCGCCTGCAGCTGTGCCTGCGAACGTGCTTGCTGTATGGGGCCCTTTGTAGATTATGCCCAAGCCCAAGAGCGGGGAATCATTTAGCAGATACATCACAGATGAAGCTGCTCGAACGTTCCTCTGCAGCAGCCTCTCTTTCATGTTGAAAGTGGGTTCTTCGAAGAGAGGTAAATAGAAAATAACTGGAGCGGGACCTAGCAGGCATGCTCTTTTACGTACTTGATTGCGCCAACCGTTAAATCTTTTGCATGAAACTGTGCAAGACCTGCATGATTATGCTCATGTGCGAGACCTAGACCGCACCTTCTCGTATCTTCTTCTTGTTTACTCAAGGACTACCAGTGCAGGGCGTGGTCTTTCACTTGATACGCTCGGGCGGCGGCGCACAGAGTCGTAGTGGCTCCCCAGCATCGTCGTCGGAGGGTAGCTCCTCCACAGGTGACACGAGCTCAGGCAGCGCCCCGGGCCAGCCACGAAGCAGTCGCACGAGCACGGAGCAGACGACATTGGAAGACGGCATCGTGGAATTTCTAGAAGAATCTCTGTGTTTCAAGGACCCCCTCCAGAAAGAGTGCTGCAACCCCTGCTGCGGGGCACCGAACGGGGATACGCTCAAGCAGGCCTTCAACCCCGGGGAAGAGTGGGGTTTGCTCCCAGCCCGTCCCCCCTGCGATCGCCGGCCGAAAGTAACACGGGAACAGCAACATAGTGCGCTGGTCGGGGAGCCTACAACTGTCGTAACACCTTGAAGGCTGATCTCACGCGACCCTGCGTAAGGGAAACGACGATGGATGAGTACAAGTTTTAGGTTCGCGCCATGATCTGCACACGGACGTCAGTTGTGCGTGTCGCTACCAGAGGCTGGTGTGTCCGACTACTCAGATCAGGAGGACTTTGCAGTTCGCCTGGTTTTGTGCAAGAAGGTTACTGGCCGTCTAGTGTAAGATTTCGCTTGCATGCATGAGAAGCGACACTTTCTCCATGCTTCTAAGTTTAGTAATTGATGATGATGGTATCTATAATTCTTGGTATAGATGAAATGCTTTTGCTGGAAAACACGTTCATCATCTTCCTCTTGCGTTTCGGTGGCGAGGACAGTTTTCATTCCGATACTAGGCCGAAGACCCGGGCCGCCACGTCCCTGGGAGCCGGCGCAACCAGGCCTTGCCGGCGGGCGACCAACCATTTTGCCCTGACTTGGACCTCTGTGGCGAGGACCGGCTACCTCTCTTATGTTGCGGTCGACACCACACCGTGTTTCCGTGCGAGAATATCAAAGTGAAAAAAGCCCCCACCCCATACTGAAAAGACAATTTGTGATGCTGGATTTGTGTAAACAAAAAAAGCTCTGTGTTGCAGCAAGAGCTCGTCGGCATATTCTAAGTCCATTTGGTTACGCATCCGGCTAGGAGCTGCGCATGAGAAACAAGTCTGACATAGGCGAAAACGTATGACAGACTGGCTGCACAATGCGCCACATGGGCGCCGTTTGCCTTGTACGCAAGACAAAGCTGATTTGTGTTCACAAATCAGCATCAGAAGTTTCCTTTCCGATATGGAGAGGGGGGATTTTTCCTCACAATAGAGAACTACTGCTGCGGGTTGACGCTCAGTGACATTTCCGCGGAGCCGTATTCGCCGAAGCCGCAGTGGCGGTGCCCGGGATATGACAATGAAAAATGCCCCACTCCAGAACGTGGCAGCATTTGTATTGCAAACTTTTCCAATTGTAGAAACATTCCCCGTCTTGCATGTATCGGCATCACAAATTTTCCATGCTATATGGATCAAATTTGTGTTGCAAAGGAGCGCAACAGCAGCCGGATCTGTTATGCAAAAGATACCTTACGGGCCTAGGTTCTGCATCAGAAAGGCTCGTAGTCCTTTCATGCAAGACAAAAAGCTTTCACTTGGAAACTTTGCATGAGAAACTTTTGCAAATTCCGCGGTGGGGGCATTTTTCATTGTAATGCGGGAGCTTTCGAAACCTGTCACAGCAATATCGTGCAGAAACTTTTTCCCAATGCCAGCCCAGCCTACGCCTCTTTCTCTTTCATGAAAAAGCAATGCTAATGCCTTGAGGAGGCGGAGGCCACAAAAAAACTTTGCGAGGTTTTTCTTGATGACGCAATTTCAACACTAAGCGTAGGCAAAAATATGGACTCCTTGAGGTGTGGGTGTGCCTAACTGATCGAATAAGTAGTAGGCACATAACAGGCATATAACAAGCCAGGACTACACAAAAGATAAATATGACCACGGGCAGCCGGCCGGTATTAATTCGTTTTCCTGTGCGATATGCGAAGAGGTGCTCAAAGAATGCTTCGCGGACGGGGGCTACCTCCGAAAGGCTGCCTGCACATGCCCCTGGGGGATCGGTGGTTCCCAGTACGAGGCCATGTCGCCAGTATCCGACGACGAGGTTGCACGGGATGCGGAAAGTGGCGCTCGACGTAGACCCCGACCAAGTATTTTTATTTTTCTGTTGTTGTAAGTAAGTGGATGCGGATACTGATACTTTTTGTTGCTGGCGGGTCGATTTGTTCTTCAGCGCTAGGAGCTCCTGTTTCTCGTCAGTGACAGTCTCGAGCATCTTCCAGAACGGGTCGGTTTTCCGAAGCGTTTTACTACGAAAATTGATATGATTTTTCAAGCCCTTTTTTATCGTCATGGCTTCAAGATCATCTACCTCATGGGGAACTGTGAAGCGCTGAGGCTGACGTTGATGGTGCACCATTTGCAACTTCCTTGAGACCTCACTGTACGTGATGACAGAACAAGATGACTGGCCGTGCAGTATGCTCAATCTTGTGCGAGCACCTCAACCATCGCCTTCCTCTCTTAACAACTACAGGACCGCTCCTCAGTGGAGCAGCATCGCATCGCACCGCGGCAGTGATGCCGCGCGGCTCCGTATGGAGAAAAAAAGCCGCCGCTACAAAAATCCTTAGCAAGATGACGATGAGATACTTGTCTTGCACGTCGACAACTTTCTGTTGTATTGTAGCAGCGCAAGGATACAGAAACTATAATCAGTATATGTTTTTCAACAACAACGAACATACATGCAGTCATTCAATGAATGCAATAGAATATACCTATGCTTTGGTAGTAATGCATGGTTGGTCTTGTTTTTCGTATTCGACAAAAAAGTTGTTACAGTGACACCCTTGTAGTTGCACCAACTTCAGCAACTACACAGACTTTCTCTGCATCACAGAGGGACTTGCAATGCAAAGATCATAAGGGGAAACATGTGTGTTGCGCTGCTTGATGCAAGCATTTCCGGCAGGACAAAACTTGTCTATCTTGCTGCGTTTGCAACACAGTGTGTAACTGTAACGTTTTTCTCTGTGCATTTTTCGCGCATACGGGGGAGCAGACGATCAGCTGGCGGCCGAGCGCGACGCGGTGGTGGACGGGATTCGGGAAAGACTGGAGGCGAGGTTCCAAATATCCTGAGTAAAAAATAAGTCCCTGCTCCACAGTCAAGATGGAAAATCTGAGACACAAGCGCAGATGCTGTGGAAGTCACGCATGACTACAAGGTTAGCTAGGCGGTGCCATCGTGCCTAGGTGCTAGTGCAGATGACGCGTTGTAATGGAGTCACCCTGGTTAATATTCCGATGAACGCATGAAAAAGTTGCAAACGCGGCAGGAAAATGCCTCTCGCGGAGAGCCGCATGAGAAACACCCTCCGCATGCAGACTTTTTGTAGAACATAAAGATTTTTTCGATGAGGTGCTGTCGGGGAAGCATGGCTCTTTAATATAGGGCAGGGATGTTTTTATTTAGGATGCTGCAGGGACGACCGGCGTAGTAGAGCCGAAATCCAGGCACTTGACCGCCATTATGCGCGGAGTCCGGGTTGTTGTGACGACGTGTGGGCACTTCCAGCCGCGGTTCGTGGAGTAGCTTTGCTCGCGAGTGCCACATTGCTCGGCGCGCCAATTTGGCTGGGAGCCGTGCTGCTTGAACCCCCGGTATCTGTCCTCTTCGGTCTAGGGCTATCAAATGCAAAAGTGTCTGGGTCTGGAAGATTGCCAGGTTTGTCATGCATATTTTGCATGGCCCATGATGCCTGTAGTGCATGACTTAGCACCACAGATTTTTGGAAGGCTTCCTGATGCCTATTCCGCATGACAAATTCCTGATGCCTATCCCGTCGAAGTCGTTCGGACTAGGTTTATTACCAAAGTGGCGCCAGGGTTGTTATTTTAAAGACTGCGCTAAGGCAGCACCCCCCCTTCCCCAAGGGGCCCCCCGGGGCGGGCGCGGTGGCGGCTCTGCTAACGCGGAGCTCCAAAGTCCGACTCTACCTATGCGCATAAAAAGGGTGCGCGGAAGCAGGTCGGTAAGGTGCTTGAAAGGGGCATGCTTTGGGGTTGCCCGCCATCGTGATAGGGTCAACGTGTGTGACCAATAGGCCCCCAGTATATCATAGCGCGCAACCGACCACAAAAGCAGTAGCGTTTAACGTTTGTAAGAATAACCCCGCAAGGCAACACTGGAGCTCCACCTTGCTCGCGGGCTTGGATGGTAAATCAGGTCAGCCACATCTAACGCCCACTGGCCGTATACACGCGTAAGAAATCGGAAACGGTTCAGCGGATGCGGTCGGGTGGTACCTGTAGGACGTGGAACGGGTGTCCACCTAGGGGTATTGGCAGAGGCTAAATCTGTTCTAACGCCACGGCATTGGCAGAGGCTAAATCTGTTCTAACGCCACCCTGACAGGAGTCAAATGTCAAAACGATACGATACGATACTCGTAGCACAATCTGGCCTCCTCTTGCTGGTCATGCAATACAACATTTTGGAATCCAAAGACAGCATGACAAGTTTGGATCCTTCCAGACCCAGACATATTTGCATTTCATAAGGGCGAGCGACTTGCAATCGATGTTCCACGCTGGACTACAGACACTCTGCCAAGCCGCCCATTGTCGATCCCGCGTCTTGGCTAGCAGGCGAAAGCGATCTTATGGAAGGTGAAGAGACCAATGCTGAGGAGTCGGACGCCGAGGGTGAAGAAAAACTCGATGACCATTTGCGCGTTGTCGGGAACTTGGAAATGATGCGATGGCTGGACTTTTTGCGGCAGCTCTCTTGGCTTGCAAACCACGCGGTGCCCCAGGATTTGTACCACGAACACGCAGTCAATTCAATGCAGAACGCAGTGCACGCTGCCAGCTCTATGTTGGGCGGCGTTGTGCGCCAGTTCTCCGGAGCCGCCTCCAGCGCGGGAGGTTCACAGCCGCGGGCGATGGGCGGCGCAATGGCCCCGCGAGTGCACAACGGCCTGGTACTCCGGCGCCGTCAGAGGAACAAAAGGTTCACCATTGCGAGTTTTCCACAAGACACGCAAACTGAGCAACAGCAGGCCGGGCGCGCGAGTGCAAACGACATTCGGAATCCGACCCTTGCCGACCAATATTACGATCCTGAGTTGTATGTGCAGACGATGATGGATGGACGCAGCAGCCACCGCAGCTACTTCACAAACGACGAGGAGAAGAAGCTGCGCGACGTCGTAAACCCTGAAGGTGCGGCGTGGGGACCATGGCTCACGACCTTGACGGACGACCGTTTTTTTCGGAACGAGTTTTTCATATCATTTGGAAGAATTGCAATTTCCCGTGGCTGCACCACCCAATCAAACAGCTATAAATACGGGATTTAGATTATCTGCGTACGTCGACGCGCGCCAATGAAAATGAACACTAGGAGATGCTTGTTTTTGTTCCTTTCGAAAAAAGTTTAAGTAGATGGAGATTGTTCGCGCAGCGAACACGCTCCTTTCTCACGAAGTAAGTAGAGAGGCACGACGTGCAGGCTAAGCACAATGAGGGGCCGCGTTTTTTCACATGGATATGTCAAAAAACGCGCGACGCTTGCGTATTGGGGGGTGCCTTTTGGTGCAGTTTGATACTTCAACAGCGAGGACCACTGGAGTGATCTGTTGCAAAGCCTGATGCGACTACCGGAGAGTACCAATGCCGAAAAGCACTTTGCGCTCCTGAGTCCCTTGGCCTTTCTCCACTACGAAAATCGCCGTTTGGGAAACGATATGCAAAAATGCAAACATATCTGGATCTTCATGTGAGAAAGTAAAGGCGTGTCGTAATACTGTCGTCCTGAGCGTGATACAAACATAGGTGCGACACATGGCCCACAGACACAAAGTATTTAATATTTTGCCGCTCCTTGCTTTCATCTGTCGGCGTTAGGCTTGGGCACCATCTTTACACATTGAATTTTGCCTGTGCGCAGAGGCCACATTTTTAGGACTTGGTAACTAGACTGAGGTGCCGCCCATGCTGTTTGGTCTGATGGATGTTTACGCGCGTAAGCGGTCTCGACGAATTGGTTGGACATACTGTGTGGCTCAGCCGCTGGAGGCGGCGAGTCGGTCGAGAACCTTACGCGGCCGCAGGTGACTGAGATTGGCACGACCGTCGTCGAGCCGGGAGGGATGCCGTATAGGCCTCCTGTCCCTATTCTCTTGGTCTCTTTCTGCCCACCCTGACTCTGACCCCTTCTAGGGCCAGACACGTCTTGGCCTCCAATGAGGCGTCAGGAGTCTTTCTGTACGGTCTTAGTCTTGCCACGGCACGTGTGCACGCATCCTGACTACAACGCACCACCGCCCTTCCAAGAGTATAGTCTAGCTCACACCAGAGCCGAAGGCTATGTGTGCTCTAGGGGTGAGGCCCACTGCCCGCCCCGCCACTTCTGAAGGACGCTCGCGGTGCGTTTCAGCGTTAGGGTGTGTGCTCGCGCACCACCAAACGGCGACCCAGCTCCCCTTCGGGGGTGGGGGCCGCTGTAGGCATCCATCGGTCCGTGAACGGACGAAGACCATACAGTATGGGCATTGGCACCTGCATAATAGTTAACCCTCTGCGCAGTATTCCGCGCAGGATAGATGATGATGATGATGATGATGATCCTGTGGACGCCAGCCGTTACTCACTTCCCAACAGAGGTAGTGCGTTTGCATGGCATAGGCGAGCTGCAGCTCGAAGAGTGGGAGGGGGATATGCTCGGCAAGGGCATGAAGTTTCACGTGCCACTGCAGCTCGTTGTGGAGTACGAAAACCTGCTGCACGCAATCCCGAAGTATCCAGGAACGGATGGGTGGATGTATTCCCTTATCACAGAGGAAAAGCTAACATACTTACTATCTATTTCCGCGAGCAATGAAATAATAACGCATTAATTCTTTGTGTTTGTCAGAGAGGACGAGGAGGGCCAGGCCGCCATGCCGTAGGATAAATTGAATAACACGCTGTTTCTTTCAGCTTCGCAAGACAGAGTTGTTTTCATTTTTGCATATCCACCCTCGTGTAGCCTACAAGTGACGCTCTCGCTGTTCACCTGCAGGGGTTCTGGGTCCCTCAACATTACATTGACCTACTTATTTACCTGGTGGATGTTGGCGGAGGTCCATGCTCTGTCAGTTAAGTGTGTATTTTATTTCATGTTTACATTACGTGTTGCCATCAACATCTTCAAGTAATATGTACGCGCTTTTTTCTCTGGGATATCCCGCGCCGATCGCAGATTCATAGAGGGGTAGTTAAGTCTAGACTTTTCCGTTCCTAGAAAAATTGCCGCCGTCCGTCTATCGATTGTCTCTGCGTTTTTTGTTGCCGGTCGAGCACCACGATCATTTACTACTTGTTGGTTTTTTTTTTCCAAGAAAAAGGTCGCTCGTACCAGGGCCTTGAACCATTGACGCCAAGCCCAGGCACGAGAGAAAGAAAGAAAGAAAAAGGTTGCTCGGATCAATTTGATACATACAACAAGTTGTATGCTTTGGCTTTGCAGATCTGCATCTTGGAAGAGCTGCCTTGTCATCTTGCGAGCACCCTGAGCACGAAAATGATCTATGATGTATGTATGTATACATAGGAAGAATTTGAAGTGAATGTTGTCGCTTAGATGTGATCATATGAATCAATAATAATTTAATCTGATGCATGATGTCAGGAAAGGGAAAGGCAAAAGCTGCACTCAGGAACGTGTGCAATACCATTTTTGAATTCGCAATTATATTTCAGACTTGACCAATTGAATGCCAGACTGAATTTCTTTCTCCAACCATTTGCAGGCAGGAGCATCCGGATTTGCTTCCCGTTCCGTCCGGAAAGGCGGCTGCAATGGCGTTGAATTTCTATCTGAATTTGGGCAACAAGAGGTTGTATCAAATGTAAAAATGAAAATGTCTGGGTCTGGAAGAATGCATGCATATTTCTCATGACCCATAATGCCTGTAATGCTTGAACTAGCATCGCAGACTTTTAGAGGGCTTCCTGATGCACCTTCCGCATGAGAAATGGCCCGTCTGTGTAGCAAAAACTGTACCCATTTTGCTGGTCATGCAATACAATTTTTTTTAGAGTCCAAAAACAGCATGACAAGTTCCAATCTTCCAGACCCAGACATTTGTACATTTGATAGGCTGGTAGAGAATGTGATGCTGCAGTTTATCCGCCGAGAGGAAACCGGTTCTCGGGACGATCGAAGGGTAAGCCGAGAGCTGATCACCGCCCGGCAGACCCACCTGAACAACCCCTACGCTGGCGGCCGCACGGAGAAAGTGCATACTAAGTTCATTCTACGGGGCGTGATGGGGTTTCAGGCCATCAAGCAGGCTTTAGCGACGCCGATGCTGGAAGGCATCTTCGAGCAGTTTGACCAAATGATGACACAGATAGACTCGCGCACCCGTGAGGACCAGGGACGAAGGAGAAGAGCCAAAACCGTTGAGGAACAGCTGCGCCACCGTGGTTGGTACTGTCCCATCACACAGGAGATCATGCAGGATCCAGTGGTTCTCCAAGTTGATTTAGAGTCACTGGGTGCCCAGCTAGTTCCTTCGATGGTTGGGCGCGTTGTGCAGGGCGGGAGCACCGTTGCTACGGGTATGGCGCGATGGTGGTCGGCCCGCCGGGACGCACCTGACGAACCGACAAGGGAGTTGGAGGACCAAGAAGAGCTGGAGGACCAGCAGGAGGCTGGCAACGTCGAGCAGCCATCGTCCCGGCCGGGTGACGGTTCTGAGGACGACCGCCGGAACTTACCGGAGGTTGAAGCCCTCTACGTGTCCGTGCGCCCTGGCAAGCTCCGCTATCCAGCAGTTCACGACAATAATGTTTCCTGCCCAGAGAAGGCAGCAAATTCATCTGAGAGGGTGTTGATGTAGTCGGTGCGAAGTTCTTTCTATTTGGTTTTAGAACTATATGTTGCACTTTCACATGCGTTCTCTTACGTACGTGGTATAAGTAGATAGTACACAGGCTAGCGCGAGACACGCTTTAGACGTGTTTTGAGGTCTTCCAGGCCTACCATGCAAGCAGAAAGCGCCCTCCGTTATAGACAGGCGCACAAATAAGACGGCAGTCGGACCAAATCAATGTAACACAGTAGCCGTTGCAATTGCTACTTCGGCGCGACGTCGACAGGGGCCGAGTCGTATAATCGAACTTTTATCTGCATATTTGCATGCTCCTGTCCCTGGCAATGGCAAGTTTGCATGCTGCGTCGCCTCGGCATCACTGCTCAGATAAAAACCGCAATAGCCAACCGAGACCTCGGGCGGGGAACGATTTTCATACGATAGCCTCCCCAACTACATCCAGGAGGGTGCGGACATGTGGATTCCGCGGCAGCCACACAAACATGTCTTCGAGAGGCACGCCATTGAAACCCACCTGAGAGCGTATAGATACGATGCTTATATTTACTTAGTTCGCTGCTGTTCTTCTTTTTCACAACTATTGTCAACCCGCTCGTCGTGTTCTCCAGGTGTTTGTAGACTTTAAGTCAGCTGCATCAACGAAGAAATCCAGTTGTTATTAAAGTACACTTCTTTGTCCGATCTGGAGCTCTACCAGCGGAAACAGAGGGTTCTGCGCCTACTTGAAGAGAGAGCATCGTCCTCGAGCTTGTATTCCTATCTAGAACGGGCGGTCGCTCCGCGCCCGCCGGCCCGGCGACGGGGGGGTGCAAGGGGGAGAGAGGGGAAAAAAGCGTGGCCGCCAGAGGCCAGCGATGCATGTTGAAACTGTGTTGGCGCGATAAGCGAAAAAGAGAAACGGTCTTCCTCCCTCGGCGGGAGCGAAAGAAGCGTGCGTAGGTAGAGTCAAGACCGCTACGCGCGAGGAGCGGTAGGGGGCACAGAGCGCAGCCGCTTTCCAAGCGTCCACAAACAGGCGCGGCGGAGAGCGTGCGCAGACCCTTTTTAAAGGCGCGGGAGGCTAGCCACAGGAGGCAGACCGAAAAGAGCGCGCCGACGGCCGAAAGACGAGAAAATCGGCCGGCACCAACCAAAGACAGCCCGAAAAAAAGGTAAGTAGGCGAAAGGAAGCCCGCGCCCGGGGGTGAGGCAAAAAGCCCCGGAAACGGAAGGGGAAGTGCCCGAACAGGCCGAAGGGGCGAGCCATAATGTAAAGAAATTAGCCGGAAACACGCCCGGCGGCCCAAAGAACATGGGGCAAAATCAGGCAGCCCCGGCGAGGCCGAAGAGTCCGCGGCCGGCAGTGGGCACGCGACGAAGCCCGGCCTGCAGAGCCACAGGCGGCAGGGAAAGGCGCAAACTGCCGCCACCCCTCGCAACAGGGGGCGAATGGCAAAGGGCGCCAGAATGCAGCATCACTTCGGCCTGGGGCAGCCAATCGGCAGCCGCCACCCAGACAGACATCTGAGAGGGTTCGGCTAGGGGAGACCACAGCCCCAAGCCCCCTGCCCGAGGCTCCTCGACAGGCGGCCCGGGCGAGCTTTTGCATGCTGGTCTAGTGTGCTTCCGTCGGGGTTTCTCGCTCCGGCTGCGTTAACGGGTTTTCTCACTAGTGTTTCCGCTTTCCCCAAAGTCGGTTTTTTTGTCACTAGTGGCTCCACTAGTGAGTGCCTTCACTAGTGGCGCCTGTCACTAGTACCTCTCGCGCTTTTTTGTCACGCTAAAATCACTAGCAGAATTTCTACTAGTAGCCGTTTTTCTGCTAGCACGATTCTACTAGCAGGATTCCTACTAGCACCTCGCACCCCCCCGTCCGCCAGAATTTTTCCAATAGTATTATAGATAATAGTAAGAGAGAGCATCGTCCTCGAGCTTGTATTCCTAGTACAAGCGTCGCGCTTAAAGCTTGCCAGGCTGTTAAGATATCGGGCGTGTAAGTTCAAAATAAGTGGCGCGTAAGCTACTCGTGAAAAGTCTGAAAGCCTGGGAGTTTTGGAGTTGAGGCAACTGCCTCAACTCCCGTGTCTTTGTGCGCGACAAATACTTGTCGCAATTTGAGGACGCCGGATTGTCATATTCCGGCGGGCGGTGCTCGCAAAATCGATTTTGTGAGTACCCGTGGACAGATTCGATTTTGTGCGCCCCCCTCGGGCACGCATCTCGAAGATGCCTCATCCTCGGGCGGGGCCACAATAACCTCGGAGGGGCGCCAACTTTGTGCCTGATCGATGCCTGGGACGTCCGGCCTTTGGACTGATCGGCACTTCCGAAAAGTCGATTTTTCCGGCTTCCGGAAAGTCCGTACTTTCCGGAAATTCCAAAAGCTCTGGATTTTCCGAAAAGGCCGGACTTTCCGGAAATCTTGCGAAAAGTTCGGATTTTCCAGCACTGCGAAAAATCGATTTTTCCGGCTTCCGGAAAATCCGATCTTTCCGGAAATTCCAAAAAGTCCGGACTTTCCGGAAATGTTGCGAAAGGTCCGGATTTTCCGGAAGTCGGAAAATCGATTTTTGCGGCTTCCGGAAAATCCGGATTTTCCGGAAATTCCAAAAAGTCCGGACTTCCCGAAAAGTCCGGACTTTCCGGAAATCTTCCGAAGAGTCCGGGTTTTCCGGCACTTACGAAAAATCGATTTTTCCGGCTTCCGGAAAATCCGGACTTTCCGGAAATTCCAAAAAGTCCGGACTTTCCGGAAATCTTCCGAAAAGTCTGGATTTTTCGGAAGTCGGAAAATCGATTTTTCCGGCTTCCGGAAAATCCGGACTGTCCGGAAATTCCAAAAAGTCAGGACTTTCTGAAAAGTCCAGCCCGGCGGATTGCGTGGCGCACGACCTCGATCTTGAGCCACGCAGCCGCTCGATTCTCTCGGACCTGGGAAGCTGCAAAATCGATTTTGTGTGGCCGGAAGGTTGCGTGGCCTACAGCAGCGATTTTGTGGCCGGTAGGGTTGGCGGCCTCCTGCGCGATCCACAAAATCGCGCCTGTGGTCGGCGCAAAATCGATTTTGTGTTGTGGAAGGGTTGCGCGACGCACAAAATCGATTTTGTGGAAGGTAGGGCGAAAGAGTGCGATCCCCTGGCCTGCGCGGTATACTAGTTCAATTTTTCGCGATCTAGGGGGCTTGCGAAATCGATTCTGTGTGCCTGGGGAATTGCGCCGCCAACTTTGTGCGGCCTGGGGGGGGCTGCAGCCTGGATTTTGTGTGCCTGGGAGATCTTCAAACTTGGGATCTGAGAGAGCATCGTCCTCGAGCTTGTATTCCTATGACATGCGTATGGCGATGGCAGAAACTTTTTGCTCCAAAACTTTTTTTTTTTGGGCATGCAATTCATTCATCATGAAAACTAGACACATGCTGGGCGGTGAATATTCCGCGCCTGAGCAGGGCGGCTTTTTCTGTAGGCTGAGCTAGCTAGTCTGAATGCAGGGACAAGGTGGGCCGGCCCGTCGGCTGCGTCACGGATTCGTCCTGAGCCCTTTGGCCTCGAGGTGCGTGACAGCTAGGCTCCCTGCCGCGGCCTTGGCGTGTCGAGAAGCAGTTCAGGGTATGGCAGCGCAATGCTGACTGTTCGCACAAGGGCGGCAATCTCAAACGAGAATGGCCAGGGGGCCTGGCGCGCCATAGCTTCCAAAGTACTCTGCGAGGCACAGAAGGTGTAGGCGTACAGAGCCAGTAAAGTCGTCCACTTTATTCCGGGCCCGATTGTGTAACGCCCGTCCTTGCCAGGTTCGCGTGATCAGTTTCCCTGACATTGCTTTTGAAAAGCTGCAAACTTGCGGAAGCAAAAAGAGGGCTCGGGCCCCCCCTTGAGGGGGGGGGGTTTGGGGGACCCCCCTTCGTGGAGATACCAATGGGGAGTACCCTTCTGAGAAGACCCAAAAAGGGGGGGGGGTTGGGGGACCCTCTGGGGGACCCCCTGGGGGCTTTTGCTTGCTTCCGGAGACACAGGATTCTTTTGCTCTTTGCAAAGCAACCGGGGATGAAAAGGGCTGGCCCGAGACCAAAACCCGACGTCGCGGCGTATCCGCGGCGGCTAAGTCGTCGGCGCCGTCGCGCTTACCTTTCAATTGTTTGACAGCCGAGCGTGACCACATTTTTTGCCTGCCGGGGCACGGGCCGGCTTTTTGCCACGGACCGCGGCACAAACGGCCACGGCTTGGTTGCGTATTTCTTGTCTTCGACCAGCGCCATCCCATGCGATGGCTATCCGGCTCCTGCGCATGCCGTCACGGACCAATTCCTACTGTTCGCGCTGGGTGATTCGCATGCCCCCAAAAAAAAAAGTTAAGAGAGAGCATCGTCCTCGAGCTTGTATTCCTAGTACAAGCGTCGCGCCCGATTCTTTTACACAGGTCCGACATCCATCCCATGACACGGTCCCGCTTACGCGGGAGGGAGAAGGACTTGATTTCCTTCGAGGCACTGCAGACCGAAATCAAGTACGTTGTGAAAACAGCGTATTTCGGCGAAGGAGCCGATCTCCAGGTGCTGCTCGGTGATCTTTTTGCGAAGGCGGTGAAGATATCAAATGCAAAAATGTCGGGGTCTGGAAGAATGCAACCTTTGGACTCTACAAGCATCTGTCTTGCATGATGAGCAACAGGAGGAGTCTAGGTTTTACTATGTGGAAATGGCGTTTCTCTGCATGCGGAATAGGCATGAAGTCGCCTCAAAAAATCAGTGATGCTGTGACATGCATCACAGACATCATGGGTCATGCAAAATGTGCATGACAAACCTCGCATCCTTCCAGACCCAGACATACTTATTTGCATTTCATAGAAGAAGGACCCAGCACGAGGGATCTTAGCTACACCCAGCGGTGCGTCGTCATCGAGTGCGGGCAGAAGTACCAGCCGCATCGGTCGCAGCGCGACAGGAAGCCTACAGTTCCCGCAGACGCCCGGCACGCAGTCGCGGCCGATGAGGCCGGACCAGCTCCACGGTCGCCACGAGTTTTTAGCCGCTATGGTGGTGGGTCTTGGGCACCTGGCGTCTCCGTGGAAGACAAGTCCGGCGCGGCGCTCGCCCGCCCGCCAGACCCGCAATGCGACCTTGGCAGCACCAGCGACTGCGCCTGCGCAGCAGACCATGTGGTCCGTTGGGGAAATAAACATCGGAGGAGAACAAGAACACAGGGGCGGAAATGTTGGCCGGTTGCTTAGCGCAGAGCCCTACCTCGGCACGGCTGCGGACAAGGCGCAGCAAATGCTGGAGCGGAGTTACAGTGACGAAAAGCGACAGTCTATCCTGACTAAAAACGTCCCCCGCCAGAGTTGTAATGCAGATTTGCAAAGACAGGAACACTTGTAATGCGCATCCCCATGAGAGCCACTTCCATTCGCGTTTTGGAATTTGTGATGCTGTGAACAGGATGAGCAGATGAATCTGTGATGCGGCTACACTTGCTAACCTGCACTACACTGCGGAGTGCAACTTGTCATGCGCGACTCCCAAAACTCCTAGGTTTGTGTTGCAAAGTCCCCATATTGACTATGGGGCGGGGACGTTTTTACATAGGATACAGTCAGTACTGGATACGCTACCGTCGTTGGAGCACATTTGGTGCTGCCACGGGAACAGAAACTGCGGGGAACGGATGTACGACTGCTGCCAAGGGTGCGGCGAGAGTTGCCACTCCCTGGGACAGAGCTGGGACAAGGCAAAAGAGGTCTTCGAACAGGTGAACAGCCACGAAACCAAGAGTCGTCCCGTAGGTCCCCTGGACTTCATCGATATGGCGCTGCATCACAAGCCCCCGTCCAATACCGAGACCGCCGAGGGGTCGTCCTCGTCGCGTTCGTGGTGGCACCATACGTACCGCGCGCGCGAGGCTGCGCAGGAAAATTATTTGCAGGTCCTCCAGGCCGCACGGACAGCGCTCCCGCGAGGGCGAGAATCCCGGGAGGCTCTGGAAATGATAGACGAGCTCGAAACCCTTTTCAACCAAATGCCTGGAAACTTTTACATGCATTTCCACAACAAAGCGTCAGCGAGACGAGGAACACAGCACGGCGGGGATGGCGATTGCGACCAATGCTGCGACCAGGCGGCAGACCTCGGTTGTTGCTGCTGCTGCCCCGGCAACTGTAGTCGCGAGATGGAGGCGCACAGTACGCTCGCGTTCCCGTGCTGTACGAAAGGGCTAGAGTGCTGCTGTTGCTGCCACAGCGATTGTTGCCTCGGACGCGTGCTCATGCCCACTTTTGCCTGTGAGGGACTCTGCGACGCGAACCCCGATCGCGACTATGAGAATGCACAACTCCTTACTCCCCCGATCCACCTCATTATTTGCAAGGCATGTACAGCAGCCGCAGCGACGGGACACAAATCTCGTTTCTAGTACACGACAAAAAAATAAGAACACCGCGCGCGGACACGAGCAGCGTCGGGTCTACCGGAACCTGGGCACGCAAGCAACAGCGGCAAAGGGGAACGGCACGGCTATGAATTATGCATTTTTGATGAAATACATGATTATGGGGAGGAGGTCGAGGGCGGGGAGTTGTTGACTCTCATAGCGACAACGGGCAGAGGTGCCTCAAGAATTGCGGATGCTTCACGCTGGGGAAACCTGATGGGAGTGGCGACTCGCTGATCTACATGCTGCTGGAGTCCATGGTGAAGAGCTACCACCGTGTGGCCGCCGTACCGGCATTGAAGATGCAGCTGCACCATGTACTCAGCACGGAAAGAGTCTCGAGAGCAGCGTCGGGAGAGGAGTTGCAGCTGTTGAAAGAGTTCGTGGAAAAGACTCACACTGAGTTTCGCCGCAAGGTTCATGATATGGACGCGGTCAAGCGTCGTGCGATGTTCGGACCCCACAAGACGCTGGCATCGGGTGCCGAAAGAATCTGCGACATGTGCACCGGCGCGCATCCTGCTGGGCAGGACGAGTTACTTATCATTCAGAAAAGTACTAGCATCTACTTCCATGGTATCTGTTTGCAGAAGTAGCAGCGCAGATGAAATAAAACACTGGGCGAGCCTCTCGCAATCTATTAGTGTCGTGACACATCACATAAACTGACAGTTTTTATTTTGCCTGGTTGATGACCAGGTGGTATAATCGCCTAGGCGTGCCACCATTCGTTATTCCTCATCTCCTGACCAGTCCCTGCATACCTAGCCATTGGTTGTTTTACCACATTGATTGTGCAAGAAGGTGACAGGATTGCTCTGAGCGTCGTCACATGTCCTATTATTCCAATGTCTTTGATGAATGGCGAACAGATATGATGATGCGCTAGCTATTTCTTTCCCGCGGGATATTGCTTGTCGATCAAGGGGCAACGCCCGAGAGTTTTGAAGAGAACAGACTACCGCGGTCGCACCTTTATTCGGGGCACATAAAATGTCTGGGTCTAGAAAGACCCAAACTTGTAATGCGTAATCAGGTGAAGGTGAAGATCGAAAATGCGCTGTCAACATCTTGTATGAATATATTACACAAACAGTCGCCCACTTGCTGCCACGAAAAAAGAGTTATCATGCGGAACAGGCTCCTTCAAGACCACCGCGAGGACTGCGCAACGCCTGAACTAGCATTTGCGTGCGTTCCAGGCCATCTTCAGTGTGCTGCAAAATAAATAATATACGTGGTTTTCTTTTCTAACCCAGACATGTTTACAGATGATAGCCTTGATGCGGGTGACGGGCCGCACCGCGAGTGCTGGGCCATGTGTGGGCATAACGCAAACTGGTGTGCCGCCTGTTCCTGCCGAGGTCTAGCACTGTACGGTGGTCTCGGATGCTGCGGAGCCACGTCCAACGTGTGCTGCAATTACGTAGCGTTGCCCCTGCACAAGTGCGGAGAAGAAGCCTGTTGCGATTATCGGACGCCGTGTTGCGAGGGACCGGCGACGGCGAATTGCGGCCGGGTGAACAGCGCTATGTGCGCAAAAGGGTGCGACGATCTGGTGAACTTCTCCTGCGGCACCTGGTGTCAAGGCTGTTGCGTCAAATTAGCGTACTCGGGATCTCGTTTCTCAAGCGGAGCGGTGTGGACCGGTCGGCGTGCCCGGGGCTATGCTGGGTACGCGTCAAACCGCTGCGCACCGGTTGCGTCACGGAAATGCCGGCAGTGCGTAGCGAGCGGGTGCGGCAGTGCCGCGGTCCTTTGCTGCGGGGGCAACACCGTGACACGCAACCAGATGTGCAGTCTTAAGGTGCCGGGCGAGATTCCCGGGTTTTGTTGCAACCTGTGTTCAATTTGCGGATGCAACTGCAAGCACGTGGTCTGGGAGCCGCGGGGTGACCGCCTGCAAACCGGTGATGGGGGCGCTGTCCAGTTCCAGTCCTCCGGTTGTTGTGTTCCAGGACTCATGCGTTGCGGACTCGAGGCCTGCCCCGGCGGGTGTATTGGTAGCTTTGCGTTTCCGCTTGTAGCCCCCTGGGCCGGACTGCTAGCTGATGTCGGTGTGCAGGCGGCGGGCGTTGCAACCTTTGCGGCCAACGTCGTTGTGGGCGACATCATTTATCGCGGTGCTCGTTATGTGCAGTTTGCGCTTACTCTGCTCGGACGAGCACTCTCGGCCGCGGGGCAGTTGGCGAAAGGCACGCTCACCCTTGTGTACCTGATCGGACGCGGCCTCTTGTACATCTCGGCGCTCGCGGTGGCTTGGATCTTCTACGGTATCGGAATGGGAGTCTGCGCAATCGGAGAACATTGCGTCGTTCCTGCCTTGACGGCAGGCTTCCAGTTTGTAGTTCAAGCCGCTCAGGCCTTGGGTGTCCTGCTAGAGCCCTGCGGAACGTGCGTGAGCAAGGGGTGCGACCGCTGTACCGCGGGGATTTCTGCCGGGTGCACTGCGGCTGGTACTGGAATATCGAATGGGTGCCGCCGGCTCGCGTCCGGTTGTGGCAGGGTATGTGGATCTTGCAGGGACGGCGCAGCAGCTGGCTGCTCGGTGCTAGGAAACGTCCTCCAGGAGTTGTACAACTTGGTGGGTGTGCCGTTAATGCGTGGACTCGCTTGCTGTTGCAATTGCGGCACTACTTGCTGCGTGGGCGCCTGCAAGTGCGTGTTTAAACACCCCCGCATTTCCGCAGCGGTAACTACTCTTCTTTTGGGCACGGGAGCGGTTGCAGCCTACCAGATGGGTAAAATGCAGCCCCTTTTGGAGCGGTTGCAGCCACATGTGACTCAGTCTTCTTCGCCGGTGGATGTTGTTGGCTCGTCAAGTAGTACAACTTCTCTTGTCGACGATCCTGACCGACATGATCGCTACGTGGCGCCGTTGGGCGTGGCGTCGCCATATGAAATGTCCATGACCACCTATCAAAAGGAAAAATCCCCCCTCCCCATATCGAAAACAAAATTTGTGATGCTGTATTTGAGTACACAAAGCGACTTGTAATGCTAGAAGGCCAAGTGACGCAGCTGTGGCCCCCTCGTTTGCAGGCAATTTGTAATGCTGTTTCCCACTTCCAGCTGCCCCCTGTCATACTGAAGATGCAAGGCTTTCCCACGCCAACCAGCACTACAGTCCGCATCTTTCCCGTTCTAGCATGACGAAGCTGATTTGTGGCCACAAATCCGCATCACAAATTTCTAGTTTGAGTATGGGGTCGCGGGGGGATTTTTCATTTTGATACCACCACCACGGCCTGGATGTCGCCCGCCTCACACCCACCAGCGGCACCCACGGTCCCGCGACCGGCGGTGGAGCCGCCCCGGCTGGGCATCACTTCGACCACTGCCCTTGCAGCGCAGCAACCCAGCAGTGGAGTTGCCGTGCCTGCTTCGGGTGGCACTTGGGCGTTTGCAAACCCTGCTGGTGGTGGGCCGAGTGGTGACCTTCCGGCTACCCTCACCACCTCTGCGCCTTCCGGCGAGCCCGGGAAAGAACGAAAACTGCGGGAAGAACTTCCGCGGCGTGGAGATAGTACTATTTTGACAACTACTGCGAAGAAGAACACAGCTGCCTCTAGATCTACAACCACTGACTCGGCGATGACGAAGGAAGACGGGGGAAGTGGCCCAGGTCGTGAAGATCCTCACAGTGCGGAGGAGACAGAAAGGGGACGACGAGAACAATCGGAGGTTGAGCGGGAGAGGCGAGAGCAGGACTTCTACGAATGGCATGACAAAAATGCGGACCACTTTGGTAGGTTTCCTGCGCTTTTTGAGCAGGGTAACTTAGGCGACGCGGAAGATTTTTTGAGCGACGGTGTGCTCCCGGAGGAGCTGCAGACGCTTCCAGAAAACGACCTCGGTGCGCCGGAAGAGACGGACATGAGCCAAATCATCCACGACCTAATCGACGAGGACGCGAGGTTGCGAAGCAGGCTCACGACGGGATTGCGTAACCGCGGCTCGTCCTCTCGTCACGCAGAACACGAAGATAAATCCTCTCCCCCCTCCTCAACTGCGACGACAAGTAAAAGGCGCACTGAGAATGATTGGAGGGACCGGGCTCGGAGCTTCAACGAAATGTACGTGCGGGCTGTGAAAGAGACTCGAGAAGCACCGCGAGACCAGGAGTCGTCTTCCGGGAAGTTTTGGCTGGCCATGCAGCGCATCGCCACCGCAACCGTGCCCCCGCCGACAGCCCAGCAAACGGCTCGGGCAAGTACCCTTTTCGGTGGAGCTCTCGTCGGAACCTCCAGGCGGATGGCGAATGCGCCCGCACAGGAGCAGATGAAAATGGGATCTGCTCCCGGCGAACAAGCCTCGCTGTCAGAGAGGGACGAAACCCGAAGAAAGAAGCAGAATTGACGAGGGATGAATCTGGTCCATCAAGCCGATATGAATTGCGAAGCTACTGTCTGGGTCTGGAAGGAAAATGCCAAATTGTGCTGTGGATTCAGGAAAACGCGATTAAAAATCTGTGTTGCACCAAGAGCATTTTGTCTCCGGGACCGGGCCTTTCTCGTGGAGGCTAGGCATGGAAAAGTCTCCGCAGAATTTGCCGTCCTCTGTGTGCATTCCTAAACTGCTTCATGCAAATGCAAGAACAAATCAAAATTGCATGATTCATGTCTCCCGATAGAAATCATCGTTTTCAGCAAAATATGCGTACTCAACGTTCGCGGGTACGGGGCTTGCTGGATTACAACAGCACTTTCTAGGTTTACTATTTTCCCCATGGACGCGGCCCTGTTTTCCCCATTTCCTTTTCCGACAACATGGCAACGACAAGTGTCCGCATTCTTCCAGACCCACACATACTTGCAATTGATAGTCCGACGAAGAATTACAGCAAAATTGATATTATTACTATGCGATGGGCATTGGGCGGGTGTGGATCTGCGGACGGTTAGTTTAGACCGCACTTTGTCCTCGTTGCCCCTACGGCTCGAGATTGTGTATTACGACGTGTTGCACTACCGAATGGGTTGTTGTTTCAACTGTTCGCGTAGCGGGATAGTTTTCGTTTCCCGATAACTCCGTATCGCACAAGTCATACGACACCACGCCTCGCGCTTTTGGTATTGCTATCTTCACAGCTTTGTTTCAGGTTGGATTTATGGATCGAACTTCCAGTCGACTTGTTCAAAATTGTATGTATAGTACTACAGAATGAATATAACTCCTATTGCTGAGCAGGGGCAGTTAAAATTTTGCAGCAGGGAGGAAAATCGCCCACGCCGAAAAGTTTTTCACATTTTTCAAACTTTTTAAAGCTGTTGCGATTTGCGAAATCGTTCACCGCCCAACGGCCAACGGCAACCGGCCACATCGCAAACGGCCAACGGCCACATCGCAAACTGCCAACGGCCAGCGGCCAACGGCCAAATCGCAAACGGCCAGCGGCCAAATCGCAAACGGCCAGCGGCCAAATCGCAAACGGCCAACGGCCAAATCGCAAACGGCCAACGGCCAGCGGCCAAATCGCAAACGGCCAGCGGCCAAATCGCAAGCGGCCAGCGGCCAAATCTATCGCAAACGGCCAACGGCCAAATCGCAAACGGCCAGCGGCCAAATCGCAAACGGACAAATCGCAAACGGCCAGCGGCCAAATCGCAAACGGCCAACTGCCAAATCGCAAACGGCCAACGGCCAACGGCCAAATCGCAAACGGCCAGCGGCCACGCCGCAACTCGCAAAATATTTTGCAACTCCAAACATTCTGTGGCTTCAAAGATTTTGCGATCAAAATATTTCGCAAATCCAAATATTTTGCGACGCACGACATTTTTTGGGTTTGCGACTCCAAATATTTTGCAGCTTCAAATATTTTGCGCCTCGAAATATTTCGCAAGTCCAAAAATTCCGCAAGTCCAAAAATTCCGCAAGTTTAAAAATTTCGCAAGTCCAAATATTTTGCGCCGCAAAATATTTTGCGGTCCGAAATGTTTCGCGACCCAAAAAATTTTGCAATCCCCGACAAATATTCTCATCAGGAGAAAATATTTTGCAACAAACTCCCGAAAGCCTGTCTCCCCGGTTTCACAGCTTTGAAAGCGAAGACCGCGAAGGGGGCGGGGAGCATGGGGGGAGTGGAGAGCACGGGGAAGGCGAAAGGCACGGGAAAAACGTGAAGAACCGGAAAGGCGGGGCGGAGGCTAGCAAGCGGCGCCCACGGGGAAAGCGGGAAGCACGGGGAAAGCGGGAAGCACGGGGATAGCGGGAAGCACGGGGAAAACGGGAAGCACTTACAGGGAAAACGGGAAGCGCGGGGAAAGCGGGAAGCACGGGGAAAACGGGAAGCACGGGGAAAGCGAGAAGCACAGGGAAAACGGGAAGCACGGGGAAAGCGGGAAGCACGGGGAAAGCGGGAAGCACGGGGAAAGCCAGCGGGAAGCACGGGGGGCGCTGGAAGCAGGGGGGAAACGGCAAGCGCGGGGAAAGCGGGAAGCACGGCGGCAGCGGGATGCACGGCGGAAGCGGGAAGCACGGGGAAAGCGGGGGGCAAGGGGGAAGCGGGAAGCACGGGGAAAGCGGGAGGCACGGGGAAAGCGGGAAGTATAGGGAAAGCGGGAAGCATAGGGAAAGCGGGGAGCACGGGGGAAACGGGAAGCACGAGAAAGGCGGGGGGCACGGGGAAGGCGGGAAGAACGGGGGAAGCGGGAAGCACGGGGAAAGCGGGAAGCACGGGGAACCGGGAAACACGGGGATAGCGGGATGCCAGCACGGGCGGGGGGCGCAAAGAAGGCGGGGGGCACGGGGGGGGAACGCCGCCGGCGGCCAAGCCCCAGGCGAGCAGCTGCCCACCACCCTCCCCCGGCGCCCTCCCTCTGTTCGCGAAGGGAAAGCCGCGCCCCGGCGCCAGGTTTGCAGGCGGGCAGCTGCCCACCACCCTCCCCCGGCGCCCTCCCTCTCTCTGCTCACGAGGAGACCGGCAGAGGGCGCCACCGTCCGCCGCCTCTGTCTTGGACGGTGCGCGCAAGGGAAGCAGGCGGGGGCTGAGCAGTCAGATTACTGCATGCGAGCTAGCGCGGGGGGCGCCGCTGTCGTCCGGGGGTGGGCCCCTGCGCCTGGAAGGCAGCCAATGAATGCCCCGCCCCGGCGCCCGTGCTGCCTCCATCCACGCGCGCGACAGGGAGGCGCCCCCGCTCTGCAAGGCTGTGCGCGGGGGAAGGCCGCGGGGGGCACAAAGGCGCGCAGGGGCAGCCGGGGCACAAAGGCAAACGGCACGAGTGGGCCACGCCCGCCGCAAACGCGCGGGCATGGCGTCGCGCGCCAACGCCTCGCATGGCGCGGGCTGTCCCCCTGCTTCCTTCCCCCGTCCACTGGCGCCCGCCCGCTGCCGCGCTTTGCGTTGTTGCTTGGGCCTAAGGCTTGCCGCCACGCAAATGCGCGCCCCATGCGGGTGGGGTCCTCGCGCTCGCGAAGAGACTGGAACCACGGGCGCCATGGCGCTCCGCCTTCGTTCTTTCAGCAAGAAGCGGCGCAGATGCCTGGCCCCGCCCTGCATTAAAAATTTTTTCCCTTGCCCACCCTCTGACGATTTTCCTTCCCCCCTGTCCACTCGTTCACCCTCCCACTACGCGACATAAGCTGCGGCCTTGTAAAATTATGACTGTCTAAAGCAGGTGCAGGTGGCAAGTAGGTGACGTATCTCTTGCTTCTCCTTTCTCCTGTCTTTTTTTATTTCTTTGAGTTTTTTGATTGAACTTCGCGGGCACCGCCCCGGCGGAATGAAAAAACACCCTTGTTTTTTGAGAATATAGAAAATCAAAAACGCACCGGTGCGCAGAAAAAAATGCATTATGTCTGGACTCTTTTGACGTTCTGGATCTGGGAATGGATAGCAGCTACAAGAGCGAATATATGCTTTGCACCAGCCTTCAATTATACAAAAACTTGCCACATCCACTATTTCTATTTCCTTTCATTTTGCGAAATGAATCACGATAGTCGCCCTCCTGGCCTTTATGCAGTTTTTGCAAGCACGCAGATGCACTTGCACACACGCATACACACACCACACCTCGATTCTTTCCTGCCTTTCGGAATCGGAGGGTATCAATCAGTTTTTTGCTATAGATTTGCGCCGACCTGCTCGCTTTAGCGGTAGTTCTATTTTTGCGAAAAACAGAGAGAACAAGCGAAGATCGCAAAAAGATGGCGAAGTACTGCCAAATCTATTGCACTCTGATCAGGAAGGACATCTTCACAACCGAGTTGCTTTTGGCCAAACTGTAAAATGCATTTTCAGCGAAGGACAGCGATATGATCCGGTGCTTCGCTTCCTTCAATCGCGCGTGTAGACAATAAAGATTGAATGAAGATCTTGGGTCCAGTCTTTCATTGAGTAGTGCAAAACGCAACACTGAAAACCGCCACACCCCGGGATGGCACTGTCATCAGTGCATGATAGATGGATGCACGATAGGCGGCAGAGACGCACGCGCAGCCCGTGCAAATCCAAATTTCCAACAAGAAATTATCAAACCGAGTCTACGCCTGCACTTTCCTGATTGTTTTTTGGACAAGCACAAGTGTTGATTTGGAACTGAATCGGCCACGAGACAGAACATGAGTAAAATCGCGCCTGTTGTAGTCCTTATATATTTTGATATTTCCACCTGTTTCACGAGGTCGTGGCTCTCGAAGCAGTTGCGTCAACGTATTCGTCTGGTTGTGGTTTCGAAGCTATTTAGTACACGACTCGGTCCCAGAAGCGGGAGTAAATCACCGCAGTGTGCGCTGGCTCTAATGCTTTACTCAAACTTCTACATGTGCTGGAGTTTGTATTGTAGTACATCAAGACCGGATTTGTGTCGACCGTGAATGAATTTTTGGATTGATCGGGCTCTGCAAGCGTCTTTATGCGCCTTCTTTCAAGAGGACGCAATATAAGATTACGCTGCTCATTGTTGGACGAGCAGAAGCATACGCGTAAAAGCAATGTGGATCAGATTCTTTTTAGGTCTGGGATCTGGGATTTCATTTTGGGCCCCGTCTGCACTCATGACATGAGAGAACCCTCTGGGACTTTACCATGCCATATATTTGCTCCGTGTGTGAGAGAACAAGTAAAAGTTGCAAACTGTTGGGCCACGCCTACGGCCTTAGTTCTTGAATGTTTGTGTCTCTTGAGGGCCGTTCTCGTTGTTTCGCAGGTGTCGTAAAAATAAGCGTTTCTTTTGATGACGTTTGTGTGGTAAGTGCTTCACTTTTTTCCGGTACTCAGTGTAATGACCAGCTTGTGTACTCATCTCATAGTGCACCAGTAGCTTGTTTCGTATTGGTTTTTAATTCGGTTTCGGTTTGGCATCATCTACATTCTTTGACCATGACTTTTGTACGTATTGTTGGAGAATTTTTCCTCTATATTTTGCCCACTAATTTATGGCAACATCAGCCAGCTTACGCTTAGGTGTGAATTCAGTGCTTGCTACTCAGGCTTCATGGCGGCCTCTGATAGAACAGGAGCATACTTGCGTTTGCGTCGGTCCGGCAGCCTCACCACCACCAGACGAAAATCGAGGGCGCGCACTTCTGCTTCCTGAATCAGCGGCCTTACCACGACTCCCATGCAGCGACGGATACTATCGGGACCGCACACAGTGTGAAGTGTCGGCGATCCTTTTTCTGCCCCCAGGGGCAGGCTACATAACATATTCTTAGTACTTCTTACTTCATCCGCGGTTCTTAGAGCTGCCGAGCGAAGAACTGAACGGGGGTCGGTCTTTGCTGGGTCGACTTGATGTTCACCCTGCGCATGCTAGATGATAAACGATGATACATCAAGGCAGAGCACAAATCCTCGGGCGCCACGGGTAACGAGGCGCGCAAAGCCCCGAAAAGGTTTACCATTGGTAGCCCCATTCCCCTTCCCGGCTGGTGACGAGTTCAATTTTTGCACTGATGGAGGGCGGCTGGGTGCGTTCGCACCATGGTTGGAGGATTTTGGTGAGATCACCTCCGAATACCTACACAGGGAAGCGCCCAGAAGAGAAAAAGGCTACTGATCCAGGTCTTCTTGACGAATGCGCACGCAATTGCCGCGTTCGTCTGTCTGTGTGAGCTGTGTCAAAGCGTAATCTGAAGGATCTCCGCGAAGATGAAACTACGAGCGCAAGAAGCACCTATTACGGTGTGGGTACTAACGTCAACGACGAGACGCCCCCCACCACACGATCATGGTCTAAAGAGCTAAGGGCTTCTTTGTATCCCACAGAAAAAGACAGGCAAGGCATATTCGTATAAATGCAAAAATAAAAACAGAAAAATCTGCGTTGCGTATCCTAAGCAGCATGCTCATCGGCTCACCCAGGACAGATTTTTCTGCGTATTTATATTCCATAATTACAAGTATGAACGCCTGCCTGCTTTTTTCTGTGGGATAGTTTTCTCATCACAACCTTAGCTGGTGACAGACTCAATCATACCGTTCATGGGCGACGCTACGCGACCAGCCTCTCTGACACTCCGACCCTGTCCTCCCGTGTTGTCGCAAGTTCGCTCCTTTCGACTTGCATCTCGCAACATCTTGCCCACGAAACTTGCTGCCGGTTCGTCGTCCAGCATCGCTTTGTTCATCGCCTCCGTGGTATTAATATTAGTGTTGTCACCGTGGTCGAGCAGCTGCACCGTTGCAGCAGAAAGCTCGTCTACTGCAATATCGTGAGGAAAGATCCCCTCTTCCCATACTCACAATGGAAATTTGTGATGCTGGTTTGTGGCCACAAATCAACGTTGTCTTGCATATGAGGCAAATGGGAGCCGTGTGGCGCACTTCACAGCCAAACTGTCACGCGCTTTTGCCTACTGCAAGGCTTTGTGTCATGCCTGAGTGCTAGCCTTTCGTATACCTAATCAGGCTCAGGAAATGCCTGCAAGCGCTTGCTGCAATACAGCGCTGATTTGTGATGTACACAAATCCAGCAACTCAGTACTCGGTCGTTGGGAAGGATGTCCGGGGTCTCCGTCTCATCGGTTCTAGATGTCTGGCGTGAGTTTGTGAAATAGGGGGCAGTGGTTGGCTTAGGTTTGCGGAGTACTTCTGAAAAGAGGCTCCCATTCCTTCTTCCAGGCAGTCGTGATCTTTGATCGCTGCCACGCGGAGCCACCCCCTTTTCTCACCCCCAGGGGGTTGTGGACCTGGCAAAACCGATGAGTTCGGTCTGCTGACTGTTCCACTTCCTCTTAGCGGTACCAGTTTCGCCCACGCCCACAAATCCAGCAACAGAAATTTCCGTTTGAATACGGGGAGGGGGCCTGTTTCACTTTGATATGCAAGTTTCTCACCCCCTGGTATAATTGACGAAGCGGACCGCGCCGCGGCCGCGACCAGGAACGGCGACGCGGGGAGCGCCGAAGAGACTGCGACAGGACACACGACATCAACCGGGCGTACGGGTAGTACTGCGGAACGTGCAGAGCAACAAAATGGGGCTCCCACGGATAATTCCGTCGGGCAAGGACTTGGCACAACCTCCACCGGGGGGCGCCAGCACTTGCCGACCGCAAAAGGGGACGCTGCGTCGCAAGAGCATCCGCGGCGCGCAAGCGGGACTCGTAGTACAGAGAACAATCTGCGCCAGCCGCCGGCGTGGCGCCCAGCGGCTGGCAGTAGTACACCGTCCGAACTCAATCTCAACCCTTTCGAAAAGCGTTGGCTACATATGGCAAGAATGGAGCGGCAGCTACGGGCGGCCCATGCAGCGAGGGCGCGCGGACGTTTGCCCGCTCTTGACAGTGCCGACAAGCCAAAGGCGTCGGTGGATGATCGGTTCCCGATCTTTAGTGAAGTCGCAGGAAAATCAAGCAGTACAAGTGTCCCTTCGGGGGTGGACAATCACTATACAACCCGTCGTGTTGCCCCCGCTTACGCCGCTGCCGGCGAAGACCTCTCACCGGCGCCACAGGAGGAACCTCAACATGAAGTAGAATTCGGATCATCCGCAGGGAAATCGGTAGCCGAAAAAGAGTCGCAGGCGGGGACCCGAAGTGATAGTACGGTGACAAAATTCGACATGCTGGCACCTGGTCGACCGCGGCGCGGACTGACAAGTAGCTACCGGTCGTTCCAACCGCCCCAAAGCTATGAGGAAGTCGCCCTGGACGCCAGCACAGCAACGTCAAATATGAACAGTGTCACGAACTCGTGGACTCCTGCGCAAGCCTTTGACGGCACGAAGGGATCAGGCACCCCATTTCGTAGCGCGAGGGGAAATAACCCCTATTTGAAGGCCGACTTTCCAACACCAGGAGTGGAGGTGGTCAAGATCGAAGTATACCCATTCGTAGAGAATTGGTGGTACTTTGTTGTTCATGGCGTCTCCAACAACCAGGGATGCGACACAAATAATGATGCTGAAGCATGCTGGGAAGGATCGGACACGGACCTCGAAATGGGTGTTGGGACAGGAACTTTCGTTAGCACCGACCTACCAAACAGTGGGGGCGCCACGATGTGTGGTTATACTGACGAGTGGAAGGAGGACGATGGTTCTGTCCCGCGCGAAGTCAGGGTACAGGATGTCGTGAACTCGCAAACTGTTACTCAAAGGGGCATTCCGTGTCCGGACGCAAATCATTGCAACATGCGCGTGGCGGAAATGTTTTGTCCACGAGGCAGCAAGGCAGATTGGCTGTTTGTGCGGCTTCCAGGAAATCGGGAGTTTCGGTTGACCGAGGTAACTGCCTACGTGAGAGCTGAAATTAGCCACGACCAAGTACGCCAGATCTTCCTTCCCAACGCCCCGACTCCGGAGTTTAAGAACGTTCCTGTGGACGAGAGCAGCGCGACGGGCAGCGCAGCCAGCTTGACGACTACCTGGATTCCAAGCCAGGCTTTTAACGGTGTTTACGGATGCTATCGCACTGGACATCACTGCAGTAACAATCCGTGGGTGCAGGCCTCCTTCCCCGAAGCATATGTCGTAGCATATATCGACGTGTACGCTTTTATCGAAAATCCGTGGGGTTTTGTGTCTCATGGCGCGTCTAACTGCGACACGGGCAGTGCAAATGGTGCGTGTACCGCGACTGCGAATATCAATGCGGAGGTTGGGATAGGCAGTAACTATGGTCTCCCAGGAGAAGCCCCTTGCACGGGTGCCGGAGACACCTCCACTTGTAATATCAACTACATCCCCGGGGGCTGGTTGTGTGGTGGTGACTCCTCGTCCGACGCGACCATGACACCAATAACGTTGGACTTCGTCGTAAATTCGCCAACCGTCCAAGACAGAGGAAAATTCCCGAGGAGCGACCTCAACAGCATGCGGGTTCCTCGAAAGTGGTGTCCACCCCGCCGAACAGACTGGGTGTTTATGCGGTTGCCGGGGTGTCGGGTTTTCGCGCTCAGCGAGCTCGACGTGTATACCTATGCTTCCAAATGCAGTTATTACATCGAAAATGTGTTTCACTGGTGTAAACGATTTTGCAAGTCTTGCACTACAATTTTTCTACCCAAATCCCAAGGTTGTATACACATGACACGGAAAGTCCGTCATGCGCGGTTTCGAAGGGAAAACACCACGAAAAATTCGATGTCTTGCAGTTCTAGCAAGGCAAACACTTTTTGTGCGTGTGTGGCATTCTCTGCATTACAAGTTCACACTGAAACAGTTTTTTCCGGCGATAGCAGTGACTGGACGAAGCAGATCGCTCATCCGGCCTGCTACGATGCTAAATATTCCCAGGCCACCTCCGGATCGGGCTTGCCAACTCTTGTCAACTTTAAGAAGCTATGCTTTGCAAATATGTCTGGGTCAGGGTCTGGAAGAATGCAAGACTTGCCATGCTTGTCTGGCATGACAATGACTCTGAGGTC